CAGCCCCTGCCCACCGCAATCAACGCCGCGCCCACCGCTCCCCACTCCGCGCCCATCGCCCCCCACACCGCGCCCCCCGACGCGCCCACGCCGCGCAGACCGCGGTGAACTCACACATACATATAACACAACTCGAATACCATAATTATCCCAATATCTAGCCAAATTAATGACACCATATTAAAAGTCTTTAAACAATCACGTTAGTGGTCACTTTCGTATTCCGTTTTACGTAATTCTACATATAAATTCTAACACACTGGTTCTGAAAAAAATCTGTTATTTAATTAACATTCCAACAATTTGATTGCTTTCAACTTAATGAGATTAAAACACAGATGTATTAAATTAATGGTCGTTAATATACAGGACGTCGTTTTGTTTTTTGTCTGCCAAAAATTTTTTAGGCTTCCTTCATCACGCTACTGAACATAAAAATATTTCGATATCAAAAAATCAACATATCAAAATATAGTCGTTGCTGATATTTGAATAGATGATTATTGAAGTTGAAAAAAATAATATTTGCGAATTATAGAATCTCTTGACAGTAATAAATATAAGATCTTTATTCTTATTTATTCACTGCTTAATATTAACATTCGCATAGTATTTCAGTACATAACATTTGAAATTTTACACAAATATTTTAGTTATTGACAAAAAAACGTAGAACGGATTTTTTTTACGTCAAATCGGAGCGGTGATTTTTTTTTTTTCTATTGTAATTTTCTGGTAAAGTGTATTGAATGAGAAGTATATAGAAAAAAACTAGAAACCTAAAAACGGAGATTTTGAGATACATGTTTTGCGTCTGCACGGCTCACATAACATGATTAAAACATATTCGTCCAAGAAGAGATTTTTAGCACCTAATGATGAACTTAACATTGTTTGTACTTAATTTGTTTAAGCTATTTAAACACATTTGCATTTAAATATTATCTAGGATATAAGTTTAATAATTAAGGCCTTGTTTTTTTAAACAATATCATTATAAAATAATTTATTACATTTCAAAATGTATACTTTTTTCTGTTATATGTATACGATGTCATTATTAACTTAAAAACAGTTTTAAATATCCTTAAAACATTATATTGAAATTATTATATTTTAAATGGTGAAAAGATTTTTATAATGTCGAGAGTTTAATAGATTTTTTTTTTAAATAATATGAATTGTAAAATTTTTTTCTTACCTAGTACCTATTCTTAATTCTATTAATACAAATATTTTCCATCATAATTTTTTCATACTTCAAGAATTAAACTACAGAAGTGGATGAAATAATGGTAATTATTTTCTAAAGACATTTTAAAAACACACACACTATAAAGTGTGTTAACTTGAATCCCGCTTTTTAAAAAAATAGAATCAAAATTTCTGAGGCTAATAATAAAAATGTTCAAATGTGACTTAATGGAATTTAATCAAAACTCAACCGTGATGCATAAAACGTTAATATATTGAGATCAAATGTTTTATGTCAATATTTCGGCAGTTCGAATTCGCGATTTGTTTACTATAGCCTAACCAAAAATATAAAAATACTACCCTGGCGGCGCTTCAATCGTCTTTAATGTCACTTTCTAATGTGCCCAAAGGAATTAGTTCAATACTTGTCCGCAATATGGCAAGGGTCTTATAATTCTGGTCAGGCTATAAATACATGAATACCATTGCACTGATATTGTCTGTACATATGTAAGATAGTTGTAGAGCTTTAACTGTTTTAGATGTTTTACTGTATATTATATTTATTTTTTTGTCATTTCTTGAGATTGTTCCGTTGTTATATGCAGTTTTATTGCTTTGTAAAAGAAACAATTCTTGTAATTTTAAGTCTTATATGTATTTTAATATATTAAAAGTATTTATTAGCTTCTGCTATTTAATATAAATAAAATATCAGATAATAGAAAACAGCTAATCATAGCCTGCCACGGATCTTAAGAAACTATGTTTTTTCATCCCATTTTAATAAACACGAGCTTAATTCTGTAAGTGATACCAAGCAAAGGTTCACGATTTTTTATAATAACAAGGGCCTAATTACAATTATAACGGTTTTGGTGTTTAAAATGTTGAATTTCTATTTGAATAGATATGCTTATTTAAAGGTAATAAAATAAGAATACAATAGATTGCGCGCTCCAAGTTTGAAGAACGTCGTTACAAATAAAGTATGGTGCTAAAGATGACACGGAGTTGGCGGTCTGTGGGCTTTCATTACATAACTCAAAGGAATTTTTCGTTACACATTTCATAAATAGTTTGCATAAAAAATAGCAACTAAATTTCGCTAATGAGTTACATTTTTTAATTCGTTTTTTCGGATCATTTTCCTAAACATATGTGCAAAAAATCAACATTCCATGGAAATATATTAGTTGTTTATCACTTATTGCTAACTTTATATGGAATATCTTCTTGCATTTAACATTACACACAGTATAGAACATAATTCAAACATTCCCTGTAATTACAGAGTGTATTATTTTTCAGTATCTTTAAAACATTTGTTGTTGAAATTATTTATTGGAAAAAGTTTAATTATAATCAGTATTTGATAGGTGTTAAGACTGACAAGCTTATGTATTGCTGCAATCACTAAGTATTAATATTGTAATTTTTAATGTGGGATGGTATAAATATTTATTTGAGCTAATCATAATAATACATTTTTATTTGCCTCATTGTGTAAAAGGCTTAAAATTGTCACTTAACAATAAGTAATACAGATTAACCCACAGACATTTTAGTAATGTAACCAAATTTTTATATGTAAAAGAAAATAAAGTTTTGTTAAACTTTTTTTATCTTCTTTATTTTAATTCTTTGGTAATTTATACATGGATCCTTGAAGGACAAGTTGATGTGTTCTCACTTTTGTATCTAAAAATTGTCTAAGCTCTTGGATACTGCATTCAGTTCCTGGAGCTTGTGATGCAAACATCTTCAACATCTGGTGTATACGATCTAACGGCAAAGAATCCAAATTGGTTAACATACCAACAATATAAGACCAAAACACTTGCAATTCCCCTTCTCTTTGATCATGAGCAGATGCCATAACACTCTCAGACTCCTCATCTTCACAAATCATTTCTTGAACCTGACTAGTGGCAACATTGGATTTATTTGCATCATTACTATCTACCAACACATAATAATCAGCGCTTTTCTCTGAAATTAAACCCATTGACTGCCAATAAGTTATTTTCCTTCTCAGTATTGTAATTGGAACCTTCATTGCTTGGTGTAGTTCCTCCAATGACCACTCTGGCTTGTCTTGGAAATGCATAATTAAAGTGGCATTAAATGGTGAAACAGTTAAATCTAATTTCTTTTGTCCTATTTCTATTTCAATGTTCACATTACCCAAATGTGGTATCCAGTTTAAGGTTCTGTTACCCTTTAATGCTTCAAAACATTTTGTGTACCTTTCTAGAAGTTGTTTTATCACATCTGGCAATTCAAGGCTTTCATCTTTAAATGGAGGCCAAAACTGGGCAGACAATATCATACCATTGCACATGATATTAGAGTCACCAAAACTGTTATCTTGATGAATAAGTGCATTTATTCTCTTGGAATCATAAACATCTTTTAGCATAACTTCACAGAAATGTAGTTGTGACTCCCCAAATCTCAATTTCAGTAATTCTAAATATGTTATCTCCTTTTCAGTGTTGATAACAGTTTGTCCCAATAATCTATCGGCTAGTAAAGTTCGATACTCATTAACAAATAACTCTTTACTACCATAAACATTCACAAGCATGGATATAATGTCACTAGTTTTTCTATCACTAGAGTTTGCTTTAGGATCAGCATCCACAGGATCAGGATTCCATTCATCCCACAAGTCCTCTTTTTCAAGATCATCTTCTCCATCAGCTGCAAATTTTGCCAACTCCTCAGCCAATTCACTCCCAACCCCATCTTCAGTCAAACTACTAACCACACTTCTGACTGTATCTTCTCTATTCCTCAAATAATTTCTTACAGGTTTTGTGACTGTTTCCAAAATGACGCCTGAAGGATCTAGATATCTTAAAGTTCTAATTGTGGACACATATGCTGTTAATATTTCTGATGTATTCACACCAGGGTGTAATAGCCTTGTTTCTAAAGCTGTCTGTAGATTCTTACAAAGTGTGGGCCGCAGATCTGTTTTGTCGAGACACAGTTTAATGTCATCTACGGCTGGTTGTGAATCTGGATATTCAATAATTATATTAAAAAGCTGATCTATTCTTAGTTTTGTATAACTGTGATATAAATAATAACTCAGCTTTTGTTTAAACTTTGAAATAGCATTTTGAACATTTTTATCATCCGGAGGCGGTTTAGAGGAACCTCCGCAGTATATTCTTGTAAGCCATGACATTACTGTTGTATCAAGCCAATTCTCAAGGAATGCTATGTGAGAAACATCAAATGTGCCTGTACAAAGTTTCTGTATATGGCTTTCTATTCTCATTTGAATAAAATTAGTCAAGACCTGACCGGCCAGTCTCTCTAATAGTTGTAATTCCATAAGTTTGCGATTTGTGTCATGAAACACTTTGACAATGTAAGCGCAGTTACAATCTGTGTAATCATTCCAACAACCTGAGCACATCACATCCTCACCCATATCAGAACTCTCATATTCATTATCAAAAACATTAAATGATACTTTATAAAAAAAGTATATGATGTATTGGAATTCAAGTGGTATTTGAGCAAACAGAGTAGCACGGAGTAGTTGCTTAAACCCCAGTATACTATCTCTTTCTCCAAAGATCGGCAAGTTATCAGAACAATTACTGTTCAATAAGCTCAACTTTCGTAACATTGGCTCGAAGTTTGTGACTGAATCAAACAAGTCATTGATAGCAGTTTTGAATAATTGAAATCCTTTGACCTCTGTGTCTGATTTTACAAATTTGCCCCAAAAAGAAGGCACAGTGTTTTGGCGAACATACTTTTCAATATAAATGATTACTAGATCACGAATTTTAATTTGAATACCTAAATTAATGATAACTTCTTGGATCTCTTCATATTCTTCGTTGGTGCACTCTGTAAATATTGTATCGTTCAAGATGGGAAATGCATAGTTTATTTTTTTCCAACAAACCTCCAACTCTCCTTTCTTTGCCATTATGTTATACAAAATAATAATTGAAGCTCACTTCAGCTTATATTTAAATAATACCGGATCTTTATTTATACAAACGAACATAAATAATTGACAAATACGACATTGACTTTAAAATATCATAGATAAAAAAATGTCAATGTCAACGTAATTTTTTCGAACGAAAGTAAAAAGTACTAATAATCTTAAATACCTAATTAAAATTAAAATCCTGGGGTGGGTTTTACTAGTCGTCGCTTGTAACTTCATTTACGTCCAAACTAAACCATTCCCTATATTCAGTCATGAAACAATGCAAGGGGACACTTGCTACGAGACTGTCGATTCCACTTGAAAAAGAAATATTTCGACATAACTTTTTTCTTATGCACTGATTGAGATGAAACAAATTAATGTTTTCTTAACCTTTCGAACGTTTTGACACAGATCTGTGCACCCCTCTTAGACCGTCTTGTCACATATCTGTGCCCGCATTTTTTATTCAAATTTTTTATCAAAATTCATACGGCGTACACGTTTTCAGCTCATGACTAGTGGTAAATACGCTGTAGAATATATAGTATGAATTTATTGTAAGGCAAAATTCATATAAAATACAAAGTCAGGCGCATCTCGCCTCGTCACTCACGATCGTTGCGACAGACTACGTAATTTTTTTAGTCGCCCTCGTGACGTTCCAAAGATTAAGTAAGTGAGATGAAGATAATCCGCATGTTGTTTTGAGTTGTATGGTGTATATATGATAGGAATTTGGTTTAGCCAGCACACAAAAAATGATTAAATAAATAAAGATTGTTATTTATTCTCATATAAACTAATATCAATACAACTGTGTATAAAAACAAGATATTATTTTTATACTATTCTAGACATGTTCTTTTTCTCTAGATTCGAACAACTCAAACTTAAATTAACTTATGTCATTATTTAAATACAGCCAGTCTTACACTGCAAAACATCAAATAGGTTTCATTTACAACAATATAGAATGTACTACTATGTATAACACATCCACAACATTAAGAACCACATGTACCGAACGAACCACAGAATTACAGTAGAAGACATGGTATATGATAATGACAGGTTGTGAGGTTGTAACCCTCAGGAATGAGGAAACAATGTAGACTGAAAATAAGGAATACCTATTCAAGAACCACAACCACTTTATTGTATTTTCCATGTAGTTACTTTTTTTATGAATAAAAAATATGTTCATAATTCTTTTATTTAATTTGTAATGCATTAACAATATTGTAGGAATGGGTTTACAAAAAACAGAGAAAAGATCTTTTTAGAAATGGATTTTAATTTTTTTATTACATATACATCATAACTTAACACTAACTTAACCTAAGTAATTCAAAAAATCAATGAATTGGTTCAGGTTGCTGTGTCAAAAGGAGGCCAAAACGTTTCTTGATTGTTATTCTTTGTCTGGAATACTTGTCTTCTGGTGAAAACCGGGCTGAAACATTTACAATAGTATATTTAGGTATCATCATCATCCACTTGCCCTTATCCCTTATGGAGGGTCGGCACAGTATGTGCTGCTCTTCCATACATCTCTATCAGCCGTCATATCTGAATCCACTCCTTTCTTAAGCATATCCTCTTTCACACAATCCATCCATACTTTCTTCGGTCTTCCTCTTCCTTTGTAGCCATCCACATTCAATCTTAACACTTTCTGGTTTATGTCCCCATCATTTCGTCGCATAACATGTCCATACCACGCTAACCTTTAATAGTATATTTAGGTATATCACTATTAATTAGAGGTAGGAAAACTGCATCGTTGTATACAACCAAGGGGAAAATGTTATATTAATTTTATTTCATAGTTACTATAATTATTTGGTATCCTACCTGGGTGAGCGGACAAAGTCGGTTTTCCACTAGGGTCAATTGTCTGAAATCACAAAGATATTATGATACTAATATTTTGCCACATGTTTGAATTATAGAAAAAAATAAAGCACACATTACCGCTAGTGTATATTGTCGGTCGCCATTCTCGTTCAAGTAGTATCTCAGGTACATTTTTGAAAATGTTTTACGAAGCTAAAAACTTAAGGTATTAGTATAAGAAAGTGAATAACTGAATTTTATTCTTATTTTAAATCTTATTAAATGAAACAAAAAAAACTATTTTCAGCTTATCGATGGAAATTGACAGTCAATAAAGGCATGCGGTTTTATGACATTGACGTTAAATTATACCAAAGAGCATGTAAGTAAAACATAAATACGATGTACACGGCCGGATAATTTGGCAACACTGATTGACTTTGATTGACGTTTTATTAAAAACTTGATCACAGAGTACTTTGTAACATACTGAACTTGATTTTTTACCTGTGCCGATCTATTTATGTTTGTTGTTTAGTAAATAATATTTTATAAATATTGCTAACGCCAGATTCTAAATGTACTGTACATTATAGTATATTACAAGTGCATGCTAAGAACTTTGCGTACTTTTTCAGGACAGTTATCTAGAATGGTTTCGTTGCCGCCTCGTAAGATTTCCACGTCTGTCGCTTCTTCAAGACAAGATATTTCGCCATATCAAGTACTAGTACAGATGGGATTTCCTAGGAAAAGAGTGTAAATATCGATAAATGGCAGTTTTTTAAATAGATTGACAATTTTCTTGCAAGACTTTAATAATTTACTTTTTTCACTTAGACTAAAAGCGCTAGCTGCGACCGGTAACCGTAGTGTTCAACTGGCATCAGATTGGCTTCTTACTCATGTAAATGATGCTGCACTGGACTCAGAGGAGCCTCGTGAATATATACTATATGTCACACCTACTGGACAACTGTTAAGTCAGATACAGGAATTCCGAGAGAAGGCAAAAAGTATTTGTGGATGGAATGGTGCACATAATGCTCCACCCCATATAACAATAGTCCCGTTTTTTAAAGTGAGTTTCAAGTTTGTTGTTTTCTTTTATTTGACCAGAAGTACAAAACATCTGTTGAGACAACAGAATTTAAATATCTTGCTTTTTTAATGTGTTTAAAAAACATATGTTGATATTACAAATTACCTTAGTTTTAGTCTCTAAACAACAATAATTGACCATTGCTATTCCCTGTATTTATGAATTATTTTGAAAAAAAAAAAATATTAATGTCTATAATAAGATGTGGTTTTATAGGCATCAGATGAGGGATCTTTAAACCTGGCAGTAGCTGTGAAACATGCTGTTGAGAAAGTAGGACCACAACCAGCCTGTCCGATGAAACTAGAAACTTATGTTTCACCCAATTTTATTGGCCTTTTCATATCTGAAGAGTATGCTGAATATTTTAAGGCATTGTCTTTACAATATGTAAAAGAAATTCAAGGTAGTTTCTCTTATTATTTACTTTACAAGATACAAAATCATCAAATACAACATACAAATAGTATAGGAGAGGAAAGAACATTAATATAGTATTGTATAGCAGTCTTATTGCTAAACACAATCTCAAAATAGCAAAACCAAGACTATATAAATTAAAGTATAATGTCCAACTGAACAAATAAAGATATAGTCTTTTCTCTTTCTCAATCTTAACTAAGGCTACTGCAATATTTTTTAAATATCTGCATGCTTCTTCTTAAGATATAAGGTTGGTGAAAGTTTTAGATTTTTGAAGTAATGTTTAATTTTATACAGTTGAAGTGGGAAAACTGTTTAAACAAAGGGCTATGGCAGGATTGGATTGTTCAAAAAATGTTATGCCAATGTGTAAGACTCTCATACATTTTACATAATATTCATTTATCTGTTATGTTTGTTTATATGATTTAGTCATCTTTTAATTTTTATTTATATTATTGTGTTATTAGTTAATCATAAAGAGCCTGATGTTACAAGTATTATTTATTGGTAAGTCAAGTATTTGTAAATGTGTGTGTTTGTGCATTGCATTTAATAGTAGATGTGTAAATCATATACATATTTACTAATGATATTGTGCAATAACTCTTTTTCATTATAACTATTTCATAATATTCATTCGTATAAAGTAAAATAATTACTATGTTAAATTAGTTTAGTTGCATACAATTGTTTCTTTTGTTTTTATTTTTAACAATAATTTTGCTAATATTCATAATACACAATATAACTTTCATAAAAAATAACTAATGGTATTTAACTGAAATGTTAATTGATAAAAATTTTTGGTAAACATCGATTAATCATGTTTTTGTTATACTTATAACAAACTTAAACATCAAAGTTTTGTAATATTTTAGCAAAAAATTTGGATCCACTGGTCAAATCGTTACACATGACGCTTGCATACCATTTTGATATATCGGCGTTTGATTCCCTCAAGTGTTTGGCCAGTCAACTAGAGTTGCCTGATATAGCCAACTGGGAGCTACGACTATATTCTAGAGATCCTCGCTATAATAATTATCAGGTAAAATATTATTTGTTATTAGTACAGACTGAGAAAATAAGCCTACTGATTTTAAGATAGACAAGACTTGTCACAGTTTTCTATGATTTCTATAATTATTAGATTAAATTAGAAAATGGCGGGAAAAAATTCCGCCATTTTAACTCGATGGAATGTGAGCTATTATAATCTGTTTATACCTACGATTCTGCATTTTCTTTGGCACTTTTACGTTTAGGTTATATATTATATTTCTTGTTAAATTATTAAATATTACGGCAGGTGTATAAAGTCAACCAAGGCTACACGCCGAAGGCCTCCGATGAACTTGAACTCGTTATCGGAGATTTTATTTATATCGAGGAGTCGCAGTTTGACGGCTCGGCTGACGGCTGGGTGTACGGCACTTCGTGGTTGACAGGTAAACAAGAGGCTGATAAATGTTATTATGAAGCTAGTTTTCAGGAATGTTTTGCGTGTAGCCCGATCTAAATTCGGAGGTGAGTTTTATGGTTTCATATGTAATTGGGAGTTATGTAATGTATATGTTATCAATTTATTTTGTTACTTTGTGAACGAGATTAACTTATATCACCCTTTGTGAGCATAAACAAAATATGTAATATTTATAGGTTAGGTTAGTCAACATTCCTGTAAAAGACATTCTTAATTCCTGCGATATATTGATCCAATAAACATTAGCCCACTTTCTTAGTAGTATAGTATAGATGGATTGTATGTTTTCTTTCTCAGGTATCTCAGGTTTTCTCCCGGGCATCTACGTACAAAGGACAGCAGAGTCGGACGCCTGGACGTTACACCGAGCAGTTTCACTAGGGCACAAGAACTGTAAGTAGTAATAAAGATAACATGTTGTAAAATAAAAATGACGGGAAAAATCGAGATACACGTACTCATAGATGCGACTGTTTAAGAACAGATTTGTTTTACTCATTAGATGTTGTTGTTTCTTTAAAACCATGTTATTATTAACATGTTACTATCTTCGCTATTATTAATTGCCTAAAATACTGCCTTTTTCTTTAAGTGATGTGAAGAGAATGCAAATCATTTAACACTATTGTGACTTCGTCAGCCGGATTTAAAAAATTGCTTATACTATTCCTTCATACGTCAGTTTCTTGTCAAAGTCCGTTTAAAATCAGTGCAGCTGTTGCGGAGATTAACCGAAAAAGCGAACGCACTCATTTTGCTATTGGCCTTTGATGCTACATACAGACGGTGAAATTTCATTAATTATAGGTATTGGCTTGGCAGAATGTTGTGTTTGATTTGTTGTAATATTGGTATCTTAAGTGGCTGTTGAGATATATCTTTTCGGCATCGTAATACTGATATCTTATTGGATTTTATAATCTCAACATGATGATGTTACTTTTTATCTCTATCTGTTATCTTTATTTGCTGAAATCATCACTATTGAGCTATTGAGGGGTGACTCAGTTACGTTATTCGGCGCAAAACATTACGATAGCTGTTAGCAACCGGCAACGGCAGTCTCGCCTTGAACTTGTACCACTTCTAACGCGTTTAATTTTATTTGGACGTTAAACATCAATACTGGATAATAAAATGGCAGAACAAAGTAAGAATTAAAAAGTTTTCCATTTTCTGTTAGATTTATAATTTTGTTTTCAAGTTTCTGAACGCATTGTATCAAAGAATATTGTTCAAATGTAGGTAGTTTTAATGTTGTATTCAGAAATGTTAAATCTATTCACCTTTTAGTAAAAGAAATTGACCCTAGAACGCTAGATTACCTAACGGTTTTTTAAGTTTTCACTCCAAAACATTTACCGATATATTAAAATAAAGTTTGTAATTTTTTAATTATTATGTTTATACTAATAGTTTTCTTTACTTTATTTACTACAAGTGTAAACGGTAAGTTACATAAGATTTTAATTTTCATTTGTTTAAAAATAATCTTATTTCAATAAAAGTTGTTTTTCTTATCTGTCTGTGAATGATCACGCGGTTCATGTACTTGAACAGTTGAAAATTTTGTTTTGTTTTGCGCGCATAGCAAATGTCAAGGTCATCCACATGTATTTCATACAAATATATATATTTGGTTAAATATTTCATTTACTAATGTTAATTAGTATTTTAATCGACCAGTAATGTCCAATCTTATATTACACACGGCTTTGTTTTTTTATTATTTTAAAGCCTACAAAATATTTAATTAGTTATATTAATGGTAATTTATGTTGGCAGCAGATAATGCGGGCTATACGTTAAATTGAAGTCCTCTCCGATTAAAAACGATCTTTATGTATTCAAAACATCGAAAAGTAAAATTATTGCGTTTAAATACTTATGCCTTTGTGTTGATTTATAAAGATTTAATTTGTTTTTAAAAATTACGAATATGCTAATCAGGTTTAATTGCAATTTGTACTTAACTAACTTGTTACAGATAATGTCTATGATGTCTGAATTGTTTAACATCATGTGGTCTTGCTCTTTGACCACTTTTAAATATAATAATAAAATAATTGAAAATTGTCTATGACTTCTATTGTTATTGTTATGAAGGCGCGGAATGCAAATCATCAGACTCGGAAACGAACACGTACTCGGTGATGTCGAACTATCCGCACGAGGACGCGGCGGGGCTCGCGCAGGAGAAGTCGGAGGAGACTTACCAGGAGTGGGAGAAGTACTGGCACGAAGTCCAAAATGACAGGAGCGAGAGTATACTGCGCATCACACAGGGTTAGTGACACACTAATTTTTTCCACTATGTACGGTCGCCAAAACAAAAAGACTTAATCATTTATTTGTAAATGCTTTATATTACTCGTTATGTCACTCTTTTTCTGAGGATACAAATTTTCAATGAATTCCGTTCGCCTTTTGGTCTAGTTTAAGTTCTACTTCTCGTTCTTTACTTAACATGCCCCAACCATGCTAGTTCGTTAGTTTCTTTATTAATATGACTACAAGTTTCTTTACCAGCAAAAGGTTTTTTTATCTTGATGTGAGTCATTAAAATCAAGACTTTAGATATGCTGATAATGATAATAGCCAATAATCCAAAGTTGATAATACATACAGTTTTAAATGATATAATATGCTTTTATTATTAGGTACAAGTATAGACTGGAAATCGAGCGTAGGGCGCGGAATCGGGGATTCTGAGAGTTCTGACAGTATTACAGTGAGTATTTTATAAATTCTCACACTCAGATACCGTATGATTAGTCACTTAGTGTAAATTTTTTAATTCCATGTTTGAAACAAAATACTTAGACAAGCACGGGTACGGATAGTAACAGCCGGCGCTGGGTGTTCGCGATGCGACACGGCGAGCGTGTGGACCTCACCTACGGCCAGTGGGTCCCATTCTGCTTCGATGACAATGGCACCTACGTCCGCAAGGACCTTAACATGCCGCTACATCTGCCGGAGAGGTCAGATAATTACTATAATACTTTATGATTTAAATTTCATATCTTCATAACCAATTTATTGTACAGTCGGTTTATTAGATGGGAGAAGACGTACGCCATATCTTACATGAATATTAGGTGCATGTGTATTTTTAATATACTTACTGCCACTGGGTTTATCTTAACTTGTAGAAGTTGTGAAATAGGTGTCGAAAACTGATGATCTAGGTTCTAAGGCTAGATATGGGCAGCTATGATTAATATGGTTTTTATTCAAATTAGTTTTCATATTTATTTTACAGTTTACGATATATGTGGGATGGCTACTACCCATGGCAATGTGTTCCTCATGGTTGTGGCTTATTATTATAATTGTTTATAAAGATAAAAATTGTTTAAATGCTATCAATACTTAACAAGATAAAGTGTAAACACGCATTTTGTTACATAGGACGTCAGTAAGCAATGCATGGTTTTGAATAAATGTATTTTTATTAAAATGCCTTACACTTACGACACGCTATATATTTTCACGTTATTTAAGGTGTGATTAATTTGGAAATAATTGTCAAACATGAAATGCTGATAAAGTTGTACGGGAATAGCTAGTTTAGGTATAAATATGCGTGTAAACTGCGTCCAGGGAGGGTGGCAGCGCGTCGTTCGCGAAGGACACCCCGCTGACGCGCGTGGGGCGGCTGCAGGCGCGGCTGGTGGGGGAGGGGCTGCGGCTGGCGGGCGTGCACGTCGCGCACGTGTACGCCTCCGCCGCGCTGCGCTGCGTCGAGACCGCACACAGCTTCCTAGAAGGTTAGCGACACTAACACTCGAATTAACCCTAGTCGGCACACTATTGTATAAACACAAAGTTCAACTTACCAACCACACACACAAACACATACATAACACAATAAATTCATACATAAAAACACACTCACATACCCAAACATATGTATATGAGCACATATACAGTTATGTATCTAGATTAAGAGAAGGCCCTGCCTCCTGTGCAACTGGTTTTTTTAATACGGTGGTTTTTATTTTTTTTTTAACTTGTAATTAAATATTTTTTTTTAATGGCTTGAAAAAGTCACATATTTAAAGGCTAGCTTTCTGTTTTCTGTCATACGCAGGATTTAACGATCGCTAAGAGAAGTATAGAAGAGTGTCGCACTGAGAGTAGTTACAATCTTCAAATTTTATTATTCTTTTTTGTAATGATCATCTGTGATAATAGTTTAATGATAATTTAAGAAATCACATATTTCTCATTATAGTTATCTCTGAGAATTGAAATGTGTTTAAATATATTTTGCAGGTTTACAACCCGAGACTCCGGTGAAGATAAAAGTTGAGCCCGGTTTGTTTGAGTTCAAACATTGGTATATGCCTGGCGGTATGGCACCGTTCATGACACCCAAGGAACTACACAAAGCAGGATATAATGTCGACTTAAAGTAATTACCTTATATTTTACTGATAAAAGTTAACTTATTTACAATAACATATTTACATTTTATTCGAATAATCGTGTTACAATGTTGGATATTTCTTGTGTTTGCAGATACAAGCCGTACGTGGAGGTGGACACAGAAGTATCAGAGACGTTGGAGCAGTTCTACAAGAGGAACGAGATGGTGATACATTCCGCAGTCAAAGATACCGCAGCTGATGGTCAGTTTGATAATTTAATTTTTTTTTTAAAACTGTAGTATGTTAAAATCATTAAATTTAGATCGTTTTTGCCTTTACTGCTAATAAAAAGGCAATATAAAAACGATATATGAGGTTTCTCTTTTATCTAATTGTTAACGACAATCTCATTATTGTCACTTAGTTCCATAATTTTAAAATTTTCCTATTTTTAGGTGGCAATATAATCTTCATCGGGCACGCGGCAACCCTGGACCTGATGGTGTACGCGCTGAACCAATTCGGCAAGAAGCGAGCGGAGTCCGGCTACCAGATCAGCAAGAACCTGCTGCGAGTGCCGTACTGCGCACTCGGCGCCATGCGCGACAAGCCCTGGCAGGTCGTCTCCCCTCCCTGCCCACCCTCCATCAACTCCAGCTCCGGACGCTTCGACTGGAAGATACTGCTTGATGTATAGATATAGCTGTTAATGAACAGTAAGGGTAATCTGACGGTGTTACACTATAAGAGCTACAGTTTGAACAATAACCAATAGGTTGCAGTTTTTATGTGTCTGTATAAAAAAAAATCGGTCTTTGTTCACGGCATTTAATTATTGTCCCGTTTACGCAACTTACTGCTCTCTAATTGGTTATTTGTAATAAGCGAAGTCTCCTTGTAAGAAACAAGGCCATTATTCTGAAAGTGGAACACCGCGTATTTCCGCGACTGTACATATAGCTCTATAAATGTGTATACAAAGCTTCAGAAACTTGTATATGCCTTTGGTTTTATTTATGCATGTTTTTCATTCATGAAGCAAGTCATTCAAGGGAAGGCCGATACAAGTTTCTAAATATTTGTAAATCTAAGATATATTTTTCAAGCTGACTGTACAATTGAAATCGGATATAACTATTAAATCCAATTTCCACTTAGCTTGTGGCTGCCATTTACAGTCGCTATTTCCACTAGGGCTACGGAATCGCTAACTGCTTAGTGAAAATAGTGTCTTGTTTCAGTTATAAATATTATATCCGATTTCAACGATATTTTAATTTGATATACAAAAGAGCTTAATATTTTACCTAAATAACGTGAAGGAGAAAGTTGTGACCTTGAGAAGTATGTTAGTTTGAATCGCTTGCGAAAATATTCCAAGGTCATTTACGCATTTCACTAATATATTTATGATAGAAATTTGACTTATGTTTATAAAAGTCCCCCTAGTCACTAATTAATTTATGTCACAAATAATTATAATAAAAACAGTTATTAAATTCGATACAAAAAAAATTGTTATTTAAATGTCGGAATTTTTTCTCTAACAGTTAAGATTTATTAATGTTGTATTTTTAATTAATTATTGTTTATATATTACACTTGATAATTTTATTTATATAACCCTCTTTATTTAATTAACACTGACTTTAGTTAATATCAAACAAATGTTTCAAATTAAATGTTAAAAAATTATAAACCAATTTATATGAGAAACATTTATTTTCTAGTTTTAAAATAAATGTTTACAGATATTTTAAATTGCATATAAAATATCACAATAAAACTGTACTACTGTGGAAACATCAAATGTACAACAAAGTTATAAGTTACAAGACATCAAGTTAATCACACATAGTTAGCATTTGGGGCATTAACATTGACTTAACAATATAACTGTATTCACGTTTTGTACATTTTTACAAAAGTATTAAAATTAAAGGATGTATGTACAGTAAAAGACAAAAAAGATATGAAGAATGACGTTATTAAAAATTGTATCAGTATAGTGTTATAAAAAAATCCGCGCTTTGTCATAATATACAAAAAACACACTTAAAACAAAAGTAACAACTTTACATTAAAAACTAAATAGCAATTATTGATAATAACATAACTGTGAATTAACAATTATAGAAACGTACTGTTTAATAGATAATATAAAAACCCTCACTTGTGAAATAGCGTGGAACTTATTCCATTGCGCACGTTGGAAAGTTATCGGATTTATTCAATTTTTTAAAAGAGTAATTAGATTTTAAGTACAATTGCATTGTAAATTCACGGTTAAACGGAAAGCCATAAAAACAAGCAACATCGATAGATAACAATGTAAATCTCACAAACAACAATAACATTTGAGCTCAACGCATAGGTACAGCCCCTAAAATTATAATGATGAAAAAGGCTGAGGGACGTTACGCTTAGTAAAAGGTTCATCTCTTTTTATAAGACCTTAAGGAACGTGCTCCAAAAATTGGCACAAACGTATCTCAAAACATTCAATGTAGAGATCAAATTTAATAATGACATTATAATTACATAAATTATTATTTTTCGGAACTTGATTTATAATTAATCTTTTCAGCAAGAACTTCTTCAACAATCTTTTGTATCATTAGTCTATCTTCTAATTTGATATCTTCCGGTTTGGTTTTATCGTCGTAAACTTTTCTATCAATAAGTCTGTTAATAACCTCTTCAACTATAGCATCTAAGTTTTCATTAGAATGGTTGGTATCCGTTGCTTGTAAACTTTCTACATGATCTGAGTCATTCACTTGCTCTAAATCATTCACTTGCTCAGGTTTAGATGTTAGGTTTTCTTGAACAATAGTAGCATCCACTTCAGGAATGATTTCGATATCTGGTATGTCACCCCTACCATCTATATCTTCACTTTCATTCTGATCATCTTGTACATTATTTTCAGAAAGCTCAACAGCGATATGTTTATGTCTTTTCATTATTTCTCTTAATTTTTCTTTGGCCGATGCAACAACTTCCTTACGAGTTTCCGATTTAATTTTTTCTATTGCTTTCTTCTTTCTCTCTTGCCGGTAAGATTTAAAATCTTTTTGTATGTCTGGTATTTCGTTCACTTCTTCGATTATATTTTCGGACTTATCGATTTTAACCTCTGCATATAATTGTGTAGGTTCTTCTGTTACTTCCTTACTATTATTTGTATTTTCTTCACTGATAAGTTCAATAATATTTTCAGTCTCATCGTTTTCGTCTTTGGCTTTATTTGAATTTCGGAAATCTTCATTAATATTTGAACTTGGTTCTTCAATGATTGTTTCTTCCTGTGATATTGTTTCATGCTCTTCGACGCTTATGTTTTCGTAAGAGTATTCCCTTGGATATTCTCTAAAATTCTTTTTTTCTAAAATAAAAATCGCTGGTCGCGTTTTAATTCTCACTGGTGGTATTAGTTTATAATTGACAGCCACGTGAGAGAAGGTGTCGACACTATCTAATACTACGTGCGTTTGTGTAAAGGATTTGATACTTGGAGAATATTTACTCTTAGCTTCGATTAGCAGATGGGTGTACTGTTGCAGTTGTTCAGGCTGCAAGGACTCGTTCTTGCTGTATCCCCAGTGGTCGTGGATTTGTGTGAACCTTGTGACACCAGTCTGTGCCGCCAAATTGCTAATATGTACGTGGACGTATGGTTCGTTTTTTAAAAGCTTATGGAATCTGAAAGAAAACAAGTTTTATTTAAAGCAATTCTTTAAACAAGTGATGAATTTAAATTTACCCCTACGTACCTAGTGATTGCCAATCCTCCAGGATAATTAGACATTGCAACTAAAACTAACGCAACAGAGAACATCACATTAGCGACGACAATTAAGCAAATTCCCCAAAACAATAATTCGTAAATTGGTGCTTTGGTTCGTCTAATAAATCTGAAACAATACAACTTCCTTTATAAAGCTGTTAAAATGTTTGTTCTAACACTTCACTCACAACAACACAAGGCTTAAAGAACCATATTTTTTTCGGACCAAATATATCAAAATACTATACTAGCTATTTCCCGCGATTGCATAAGCATGGAATTAAGCAAAAAACATGGTAACTAGCCTATGTGTTCTTCCAATCTTTGTTGTACAACTATGCCAAATTTCATCAAGATCCATTTAAGCCGTTTTGGAGATATTTGGATCTTGTAACAAACATCCATCCATCATCTATCCAATTATTCTAATTTTTAATAATAGTATATGACATTAGATTTAACTTTTTATGTTTATTACTTACACATATGAGCATACCGCAGCTGATGCTGTATTGAGCAATGGGAACACATAGATAATAAATCTAAGCTCCTTGTGTGGAAGGAAGGAAAACAACAGAACATAGACCACAGCAGGCGCGATCAGCTGAGCCAGCCTCCGATCCAAGTACACACCCACGGGGCACAGGACCAGACTCGGTCCTAGACCACGAGGTAATGCAGAGTAAAAATACCATAGGAATGGTGAAGTCTGATGTAGAGTTAAGTAAATAAAAATAATATTGTTACTATATTAGTAGTGATCTAGCATTCTGTAAGTTAGAAAAAGTTTCAACTGAAATATCGTTGAGTAGTTAACAACAGACATCATAATCTGATGGTTTAGTGTGTAAGCGAAATTTTTCAAAATTTTTTATCTTAATGTATTTTATAAAAAGGATACACCCCAATTTGAACTCTTATTCAAAATTGTATTGTACCAAAAAACTTCTGCCTCTGGCCAAAGTAATCGCCGCCAAAACAATGAATCAATTATAACTGTCAATGCCACCAATCCTACACCAGTAGGTACAACTATTTTAATAAATCTGTAATAAAAATTATTATTGGTTTAAAAATTGTGATATAATAAATGACTCATAAAAAAAACAAACTAGAACACCATTGAAAAACTAAGGGCCACTAGGTGATAGAGGCTCAGATAGCTTAAAAATGATGACACTGTAAGGGAACAAAATCCAATATTTCAGACAATTTACAATTTGGTGGGACAGGCCCTAAATATTTTATGACATAATCAAATTTGCCAAGTAGTGTAACTGCAAACAAATAATAGTAAAATATTTCAACATCATTCTGTGACATTTTAACAAAAATGTATTTACTATGTACTATAAACATGTCTATATTACTTACGTCATTAAATCAATTTTCTTAAAAAACAAATCTATAATAAGGAACAATCCAAAGAACATAGCTAATTCAGCACGGAATATGATAATGGAAGCTCCAGCAGTTATAATAAACTGTTTATGTTTTCCCGATAGCCATCCTTCTAATGCAAGTAACACTGGAAATAAATAAAATAGAGAAATCAATACAAAATACTTATATTATATACTTTTGATATATAGTATATATGTATATAGTGTTAAACTTCATATTATTGTTAATGTTACTTTATTGACTGTTATAAAGTAACACTTATTATTCTTTAACTTGTAAAAAATCAAGCATTAGTAATTTCAATTTGTAATACACTTACCAAATGGTAATACCATGATGTTGGGTAAAGGTCGACTCATATAAAACATAAAATGGTACTGTGAAACACTAATTAGTGTGAACCACCAGGCAAAGGAATTGCCAAATTGTTTCTGTAATGTATCCCTGAATCGGCTCCATGATGCTATTACTGTTAAAGCTAGAGTTAGGCGCACTGAAAATAAAAAACAATATTTTTTTTAGTAAAAAATTAAGAACATTACTGTTGTGTATGAAACTGAAACTTAAACTATACTAAACTCTTATTGCACTTACCTACATATTGCATCCAAAACTTGTTAATTCCAAACAAATGTAAAATAAACACAACAGGAGCGGATAAAGCAGATATAATGACAGGGCCGATGAATGTACGCGGCACGACTCCCGGGAATTCATGATGATCGTACTGGAAAAATATATTAATATACACATCTCAACGCGCAGCTTATGAATTCCAAAATTAGATTTTCATGTATACCTGTGAGAGGTTAAATCGATGATACAAAACGTCGTGAGTAGCTTGAATATTGAAGCTTTCCTCCACTTTAGTAAAGGGGCATAATAATATATGCAAGCTAGCTACGATATAAAGTAACTGAACCATTTTGTTATTAAAAAAAAGCCGCTTTTATTGTTATCAACCCATGTCTCGCTAATCAGACAAACAGCTGTCAGCAGTCATCAATCATGACATTGACATTTGTCTAGGGTATTGCTAGAATTGAATAGAAACCGGTAACTCTTGTAATGTTATTTGATAAAAACGGTAAAAAATGATCAAAAACACCTTTAATCGAAGAAATTGTAACCAAACTTATAAATTTTACAAAAGGTTTAATTATGTAAATCGCGCTAATCTTAATAAAAACTATTAATACGTCGACTGTTTTTATTAAAAATTCTCATTATTGTAAAATGTAAAACTTAACGCGCTTTTGACTGACAACAATCGTCAACAATGGTGGAACGGATTCTGTGACATTTCCAAGGCACTGTTCGTTTTCTGATACGAAAATATCAATAATGATCAATATTTCAAGTGAAATAGCAGAGGCGATAATATTTCTATAATATTTCGCTCCATCTTAATATAAAACTTTGAGGATGTGTGATGTTTGTTCCGAGTTTTCACATCTTTTAGTGAATTGTAAGTTACATTGTTTCAAAGATTTGTAGTGCTTTTCAATCATACCGTTGTTATATTTATTAAAAACACAAATAAATATCCCTAACACCATTGTAGGTAATGTTTCAAACCATTAAGTGTTGGATTTTTTTTAAATTTATTCTTTAATTGTAGGTGAAACGCGATTAACCGATGATGTGTCCCAATACCCAAGTATAAGCCAATCTGAACTGGAAGTACTTCTAAATTACATTCTTTCGTGGCCACAAAGGTAATAATTTTCCTTAAATATAAAATTTACTCAGTTTTCAGATCTAAATTTATGGTTTTATATACATTTTGCATGAACATAAATCTTGTTCTTTTTTTTTCAATAACTTATTAGATTATTTCAACTAACTGTTTGCTATTTAGACACAGAATCTTATTTATTATTGTAATATTTACAGTATTTCTGTAACTCCAATTTATGATATGTTTAAAATTTCAGGCAATGTATGTGCTGTTACCGAGATGTAAAAAATTTTGAAAGGTTTTATTTGGTGGTCCAAAGTGTATTGTGTTTGTCTGTGTGTCAACTGAAGTTGTTAAAGGATGAATTAATAGAAGCCGCAAGTACTCCTCCCCCTGATGATAAACTAGATACAGAGAAGCAGACCGAAACTTCACCTATAACTGAAACTAAGCAGGAAAGAAAAGATCAAGAAGTTGAAGATGCAGGAAATAAAGATGATAAGCTTGACAAATCAACCGAAGACAGCTCAAACAATGAAAATTCTACTTCAAATGATACAGAAACATGGACAATGCAGCAAAAAGAAAAACTCATGCACATTGTTTCCAAGATTTTTCTCCTCAATTTTCCATTATATTTGGCATGTAAACATTCAGCATTGAGCCACTTGGAAAATCTATCAGCACAAGAAATATCAAATTTAAGTTCATACTGTGACCTTCATGATACAGAAATACCAGCTTACCTGTTGAGGAATGTTAGTCTGTTTTGTAAGCTTGGTGGTGTGTGTGCTATGACATCCGTTTTTGAATATGCAACACCTACAACACTGCCACTGTCTATGGCACATGCTGTAGTGGCAGCTGTTGGGAACTTGAAATTATGGCTGAATTTCAGAGCTGTAGCTCAATTGTTTATGCCTTTGAGAAGTAAAATTTTGAAATACATGTGCAGTTTAGAAGACAAAGACTTAAGGGTTCCTGCTGTTAAGTCAATGGCTGGTAAGATTCTCTCTATTATTGGTCTATTACAAATTATAATTAGCTCTTATCAGTAAAAGAAATAATAAAAAATAATTCTAGAATGATATATTTTGTTTCTTTATAGATTTTATGTGGGGTGCGGCCAAAGAGCCTTTGGATGCTCCACTAGCTTTTGATGGAGATGGCTTAGCACTGGCTTTCAAGTACTTCAACAGCAGCACTCTCACAATGCGTCTGGCTGGTGTAGCTCAAATCAATGCACATATTACTGCCCATAATGAACTGTGTGCGGGCGAACCAGCAGTGGATGCGGAACTGGCTGGTCAACAACTTGCCACATGGTTAACTAATAATAACATCATTGAACATTTGTTTGGACCAAATTTACATGTTGAGGTAAGAAATTTTTTAGGTACTTTATAACCCCTTAATTAAGATATTCAGTTTATATTTCAAGTATTGGAGTAGACTGTATTAAAAGTGAAAAAGCACTTGTTCGGAGATACTGACGCCTCTATTACTACCATAAAAAAGGCCGACAAATATATTTAACAATTGATATTTATGCTGATTCCCTGCCGCCTTGACAAACGCTGCCTCGTATCGTACTGTTTTCTGGTGGTCTTAATACAATCGTCATCGCGTCCTTCGGCATACGCCGCCAAAGCGGTATCAAACGTTTCCACCCCTTGGCGCGCAACGACGCCGCGCCCGCTAAGATCCAAGGTTACACGTGCCGCGAGGGGTCCAAGGCCGACACGTGTAACCAGCTCAGTGGTTATTATGTCGCCAACAGTATTAGTTATCAAACTCAAATGTGTACAATTAAATATTTTGTCAAATTTGTGAGTTTATCTTTCGAAAAATAATAATGAGGAATGATGCCTTCCTTTATACACTTACTTATTTTTAACATTATAATTATAAAACAAAATCGTCTCGATTGCAAACATCAATTTTATTAATGTAACTGTGAATGTTTAGATATCTATATAGACCGTTAAAAGTATATCCAGATAGACTCAACAGACCTAGATAAAATTTGATATAAAGATAAAAAATAGTCTGAAAGATAGGCGACTTATTTTTTTTTAACTCTGCTTTTATAAAGTTACAGTTAAAGCAATTAAAAACGCATATTTAAGAATAACTGTATCTAATCGAACTTATTTGAAAATAAATTCTGAATGTATTTGTCTTACAGGTGATAAAGCAATCGCACATGATACTGAAGTTCCTAGCAGTAGAAGGTCGCGTGACAGCCGAGCATGTGGAGCTGGTGTGGGCAGCCGCGCAGCTGAAGCACTGCGGCCGGCAGGTGTACGATCTACTGCCCGGCTTTATACGGGCACTAGCGCCCAAACCTTGCACACATCTCTATAGTCTGCTGTGCGCTTTGCCACCTAAGGAACACACAGAACAAGTAAGATATATTATATACTACCTACTCCCATGCGGCTTCATCCGCATGAAATTATGAAAATTTTATTTTACTGTTTACATTTGTCAAATTATCAATTGCAAATGTCAATATGACATGACATGATGACAAACCATGCGAATCTTACTTCCTTAATGTTGGCAGCTTGTAGCCTATGGTCCTTCTCACACATTATGGTTTTTATCCATTTTATGTACCCCTTACGTTTAATAGCGTGTAAAGCTATAGCCTTCCTTTCATTTTCACTTTGCAGAGTCTGTATTTGGCATCAGCACTAATGCGTGCGATGTGGGCGCGGGGCGGGGGCGGCGCGCTTGGCTCCCCGCCGCCGCCCGACGAGCCTCGTCAGCCGGCGCCCGCCTGCAAGCCGCACCACAACTCCTCCTCGGAGGCGAGCGTCAGCATGGACCAGACCAACTCTGATGATGACCCGGTAACTATTGTATTATTTTAACTTTTCAATACAAGTATACTATTATTATTAAGCTAGCGCATACCATCTTTCGACTCAACCATCGATCATCGATCATCAACATCGATCAGTGGGATTGTGGTCAAGCGGTAAACGAACATAAAAATAAATAAGTACAAAGCCTTTAAGTCACAAAATTTGTGATATTTTTTTTGATACTAATCTTATCTTACTTCTTACTTATATTATAAATGCAAAAGTTTAGATGGATGGATGGATAGATGGATGGATGGACGGATGTTTGTTAAAGTTTGTAGCCTAAACAGCTGAACGGATCTCGAAGAAATTTGGCATAGATGTAGGGGATAGTCTGGAAGAACACATAGGCTAATCACTGTTTTTTTTTTTTTTATTCAATTCCACGCGGACGGAGTCGAGGGCGAAAGCTAGTAGGGTCAAAAAAAAAGAAATAAGCTGTCTAACTTGAGCAGATTATAATCGCTTTAAATATTTTTTGTACGAGTTCGTTCAAACGTACGATTCGTATATGTTCGTGCGTGCCTGCTTGTTATACGTTCGACTTTTTACACATTGTTCTTATATCTACACTTTTAATATATGACTTTATCTATATCAAAACTAATCATTTTTTCTTTACATTTTCATGTGTAGTGTGAAGAACTTAGCACATCAGGTGAAGAGGCAGGTCCTACGCCGCGGAAACAAAGCAAGCATCAACGTGAATTGACCGGTAATGTCTTGTAGCATAGTACGAAGTTGCTGCCAAATGTATTGTTGTTTTAAATACTAATAAAATCTAAATTTTCAGCTGAACAAGAGTGGCTGCGCGAAGGAGAAGAACTAACTAAGAAAGAATGTTCTACACTCAAAGCTTGTCAAAAGTAAGTGAACATTTTAAATTGTCTTATTCGGCTATAAAATCAATGTTTAACAATGCTTACACTTCGTTGGTGTTCTTGCTCGGAGTGTCATTAATTCTGGTTTGTTTTTGTTATTTAACAATAATAACAATTTAGATTTAATAATATTATAAATTTGTAGACGCAGCAAGCGCGCCGGCAGCAGCGGCAGCGCCAGCAGCGGCGCGGAGGAGCTGCTGCGGCCGCGCAAGAAGAAGCTCTACAAGAAGCGGCACAAGCCCGGCAAGGCGAGGCACTTCCGTGAGTGCGGTCACACACACAACACATCTATGTCTACTTTTTTTTATTTATTTATTTACTGCCTACTGCCTACTATTTACTACTGCCTTAACTATATTAAAGAAACAGGAATTCATGATTTTGCTAGTAACGTAACTAGCTATCGCATGCGACTTCATCTTCGCGGAAACAAAACAAAAAAAAAACTTAGCCTAGAATAAAAAAATAATAGTAGCCTATGTGTTCTTCCAGAATATCCTTTATATCTATACCGGATTTCATCTAAATACGTTTAGCCTTTTATGCTACAAACTCCAACAAACATCCATCCATCTGAACTTTTGTATTAATAATTAGTATGATATTTCAGTAGCGACGCAGCTGAAGAGCGCGGAGTTGGCGGAGTCTGTGTCGGAGGTGGAGGAGGAGTCCTCCGGCAGCGACACCGCGCACTGCCAGCTGCTCTGCGACAATGTTGATGCTCGGTAAGTATTATTTTATGTTCTTTATTGATAACGAAAAAATGACCCTAATTTCGAAAAAGTATGCAGACATTGTAAAGGTAATCAGTACTTCTAAGACAATGAATTTTATGTTCCTTGCGATATATGCTGTTGTTATTGTGATTATTCATTCAATGTAGATTTTCCCGTAACAGTGTAATAATGTATGTTAGTATCATATAGTTTTGAAACATTTCCTTAGGATTGTTTTAAATTCTTTGTATAGAAATAGAGGTATCCAATCACAACTGTTTTAGATCTACGGTTAATTTGTTTTATTTAAAGTTAAAGTTTCGTAAGACGTTTGTAAATATTGTTGGTTTATTTGTTGGAGTTTATTGTTGAGTGAGACAATGTGCGTGTACCAGAAGACTCATGGAGCTGCGGCTGATGGAGAGCTACAAGCGGCGCGAGGAGGAGGAGGGCAGCGCGTCCTCCGCCGTGTCCCCGCACTCGCACCGCCACCTGCCGGACCTCGATGAAGACGACTCCGCCTGCGAGGAGGAACTGGCACGGCTCGCAGCACAGGTACCTCAATTTTTCTAGACAATTAGGTTTTCATTTTTACTCTCTTATTTATTCTATACTATTATTCCATTTGTAATATACTTATAGTCAAACTAGGACAGTCCGGTGAGGCGCTGCTGTCGATTGATATATAAAATGTCTTAAAAAGAGGGCGCTAGTGAATTATCATAATTTAGTTTCACTCATGATCCGGTTCAGATAACGTGTAACAACAATTGTTATTTATAATCAAGATTTTTTATCGCCGACTCTGTCATTTCAAAATAAAATGAGAGAGATGGCAGTTTGTTTACATAGCGTGTAGTGTACACGGTATTGTCTTTCAGGCGCAGTGCCTGACGGAGTACCGAGGCGGGGGTGGGGGTGCGGGTGGGCGGCCGCCCTCTCCTGCGGCGCCGCTGCCCTTCAACGTGGACGAGGTGTGCCGCCCCGGCAACACGCTGCTGTGGGACCTGCTGCAGGACGGCGCCATTGTGAGTCGTATGGACAACATATTTATATAACACATCCATATACAAAAATATTAAGGTTTTTTATAAAGATACTAGCTTTTGCCCGGTACTCCTTTCGCGTGGAATTTAAAAAAAAAAAACAAAACTAGCCTTTGTGTTCTTGCAGACTATTTACTACATTTATACCAAATTTCATCCAGATGCTTTAAACCGTTTAGGCTACAAACTCTTAACAAACATCCATCTAAACTTTCGCATTTATAATATTAGTGAGATTAGTAGATTTTATGTTAATTTACTATTATTTTCTTTAAAGATTCCAACTAAGCTCTACGCTTGTGCTTGTGGTTCACCACAATAATCGAGTGGCAAAATTCGAACCCTCGACTGCAAGATCGGTAGTCCGCACCCCAAACTATTAGGCTATTGGCGCATAGTTTTTTAAAATTGCTATTGTGATATACTGAGTATCTATCTAGTACTAGCTGTCTAAACTATGTAGATTTTTTAAAAATCTACACTAAGAGACTTATAAATTTCTCACAAATTTGCATGCAGAGTCGTTTAAAAACCAAAAAGCGACTGAGTAAGACAAGGTAATTTAGGCCTTTAATGCACTATATTTGTAGATGCAAATGAGACATTTACGTGATTAAAATACATAAATGTTTTCAATCTTTTTATGTTATTAAATTATGTAACATTTCAGGAGCAACTTGGCGAGGGACTCGCGCTGGAGGCGGAAAAGGCTCTCTGTGCGTTGCTGTGCTTCAGCACTGACAAATTTATACGTATCAAGTTCATTGAAGGTTGCCTCGACAACTTAGCTAATCATAGGTAAGTTATATGTGAAAATTTTTATTCTAATTAATATAGAAAAATCGTATTTTCTATGTTTATTCTTTGATTGGTTTTGATTTGTATGTATTATGTAAATTTCTTTAATTGTTCGTTTTTTCTCTGTACAGATCTGTGGCAGTTTCTTTACGCTTATTGCCAAAGTTGTTCTCATCATTTCAACAGTTACGAGGAATGGATATGCACCAGGTAAAATATCGTTGACTAATTCGTTTAAAGTACTTTTTTCTTTTAAATAAATTCATAATTTATATGTCATTAGCCCAAAATAATTTTATCTAAGTTGTGGTATTTGAAGATTGCTTTTTGAATAAGATTTATCTGCTTATGATAATGTTGCCATATATTGTTTTTAGAAATAGTATTTACATCTATTTTCTAAAGGGATAGTTGTCCCCTACCCTGGCGACGGTAATTCGTAACTGTATATGAAAAATGTGTTCGAGGTGGTGATGTGGGCGGAGCGCGAGCGCGGTATGATGCGGCTGTTCGTGGAGGACCTGCGGCACTACACGCAGGGGGTGCGCGGTGCGGCGGGTGCGGGGGGCACGGCGGGTGCAGCGGGTGCGGGGGGTACGTGCGTGGCGGCGGGTGCGGGGGGCGCGGGCGACGCGGCGCACTACGCACACATCACGGAACTCACAGTGCGCCTGCACTTCCTCACCGCTATATTCTCACCAGTCGGCTCGCCGCAGCACTTCAGGTATGTCGAAACGATATTTCTGATATTAATTGATTTAAAGGTGCATATGGTAATTTTGATCGACTTATGTGAGCACGAGGTGATTGATCGTATAGTCAAACAAGGATATCACAGCCGTTATGAAAGGCGATGCTGATGAAGTTAGTTTTATCAGAAAATATGTAAATTCTACATAACCATAGCAAATTGCATGAAAGAACAAACATGTCATGACAGTTATAGTACAATAAGGATCTTACGACACTTTTGATGTTGATAGAGGGGCGCTAGTGTACAGTCATATTTTCGGTTGTCTTATCAGACCGGGTCAGATATTTTTGTCATGGTCCAATTTTTAAAGTAGCTATTCTACAAGATATACAAAGACATAGTGATAATGTATGCGTTGCAGGTTGACGGTGGAGCAGGTGGAGGAGCTGTGGCAGTGCCTGGTGGTGCGCGGCAGCAGCGAGTGCGCCGACTGCCTCTACTCGTGGCTGCTATCGCACACCAAGTCGCCGGAGCAGCACGCACTCGGCCTTGACGCGCTGCGCTTCCTGTATATCGAGAAGATGCCCACATTGGATCCTGAGGTAAATGAAGGCTGGACTATTGGAATACAATACAATAAATCCAAGATCCTCCATATAATGGTAGATGATGAATTTTTACTATTCTTCTTCGTCTGTAGCTCTAGTCCTTTTGGGACTTGGCTTAGTCCAGCAACTTTATCATATCCATTCCAGTTTACTATGCCAACGTTTTTCGCATCTCGATTTAATTTTTTACTATTACTTCAATGTTAATTAACTAGTAGGTTATCATGATTATATCCAAATAAAATTATTCAATAAAAACTATTAACAAAGGAATTTACTTATAAATGTTTAGCTTTAGTAACTGAAGCCATTTTAAAAAAAATCATTAATGTTTGTAATTTAATTACAGACGATAAGCATAATGGGTCTAAGCCTGTACCAGCAGTTGTGCAACTTGGCTCGCATGGCGCTGGGGTCTGGGGACTCGCGCGACGCCGCGCATCCCCACACCCTCGCCATGGACCATCTCTGGAAGATCGCACTCAGAGCTAACAGCACAGGTCAGAACTCAGAGTCGTTAATAGATCTATTAAATAGTCCTATATTGCAGGTTTTTCATACTAAAATAAGTGCGACTGCGACAAGACAATCAGAACCGTAATCTAATAGTGGTAGACATATTCGTAAAGTGTTAAAGACAAAGTATAGAAAAATAAACTCAACTTTGTCTAATTTCAGATGTATCAATGGGCGCCATCCAGTACCTGAACAGTTATTACATGGGCCAACAATTACAACAGGAGGACGATTTCGTATCGAAATGCATGTTCCATCTTTCTTCAGCAGCGGAGAGATTGATCTCGAAGAGCCATGACACGGAAGAAGCTTCGTTAACTCAAGCCGAAGATGTAGAGAAAAAGGATACGGAGAAAACTTCTGATAAACAAAATATTTACGAACATATGACAGATGAAGCGGCGTTACAATGTATACAGAGGGCGCTACTGTTGCTCAAAACACATTTGGATACATTCAAAAGAAGGTAAATTTGTTTTATTCACATTTTTGTTAGACCACTTAGTAAGTCTAACTTAAGTACTCAGAATCATTAAGTGTTCCTCTTTGTAGACTCTTCATGAGAAATCTCCAATAATCTCCCTTAATGACCAATTTAACATGTAATTCATGTTTCTTTAATTTTATTTATAACGAGCTGTCTCCCACAAACTTCGTTCAAAAATTTAAATGCAATTTTCGCTATATGTACAGAATATGTAGATAAGTTTAATTTTCTTGTAAGATTCGTAGAATATTTTTTGGAAGGCGTTGGCTTCTTAAACCCAGGTTTCCCTACTTATGGAACCAAGGCGGTATTGATACTGCAATAACTAAGTATTAAAAAAAATATTACAGCATTTTCCTACGCAAACGCAAATTTTCCAAAAACTTTAAACTAATAATTAATACGAACATACCATAGACAACCAAAATCCTTTTAGTGTTACTTTCAAATTTACACAGAAGTAAATTTTTCTCACGTTTTAAACAAAACACAATGTAAATCAAATTTGTAGCTTACGATAGTCTACATAAGAGCCATAATGTTTTTGAACCTTAAAATAAAATACTATTTATATGACAATTTCCTTACTTAAATGTTACTAAACAACTAAGCTTTTTATCATTTTACTAAAGTGAATGTCTTAGATACGCGTACCACTTGCGTCGCTGGGCGCTCGCGGAGTCCGGCGCGTGGGAGGGGTGCGGGGGCGCGGGCACGGTGCGCCTGACGCTGCAGCCCGCGGGCGCCGGCCCCCGCGCCACCATAGCGCTGCACCAGGCGGACCTGGTGGCGCATCTGCGAGCCCACGTGCATGTCTGGTGGGAGAAACAGGTAACAAATCATATTTATTTATTTATTCTTTTGTAAAAAAGTTACAAAACATGTCATGTCATCACCTCGGTGTTCCGACTACTCGTTTGCCCATTCTATTAAAAAAAAAACATCTGAACCATAAAACATACAGAATGGTTTTTTTTTTCATCAAAAATTCAGAAAATACTTCTACGTTCCACCAATAAATGGAGTGACTAAAGTGTTAAAAAATATATGGAATTTTGTAATATATTATACGCAGTTCAAACGATATAAAAATGTTTTCTTTTTTTGTTATTTAGATACAAGGTGAAGAGGGCGTTACTGCGCTGTCGACTGACGGTCCTCTGCGAATGATAACTCAAGGGCAGGAATTGACAATTGACTATGATGAAAGGACGCTATATGACATGGGGTTTAAGGATAATCAGGTAAGAATTTAGAACACATTGTTTAATTAAACTACGTGTTTTTTCAGGCTATCGCCTACATCTTTGCCAAATTTCATCAAGATCTGTTCTGCTACAAACTCTAACAAACATTCATCCATCTCAAGTTTTACGTTTACAATATCGGTAAGACATGTGTGTGTTGTAAACATTAAAAGACCTTATTTTTATTGGTTTCATAGTTTAATACTTTTCAGGTTCTTTCATACACGCATTACATTCTGAAGTGACAGTTTTTTTTCTACATTTTTTATACAATTCAGCCAATGTGTATTTGTTATAAATCAACCTCCTTATAAACCCACAATAGTGTGTGCAATATGAACGTTGGTATATCGTTTCCCAGCTGGTGTTCGTGTCAGTGGGCGTGGGTGGGCGTGGCGCGTGGGCGGAGTGGCCGTCAGCCCAGCCCGCGCCGGCGCGCGCGCGCCTGCCCACGCTGCTGCTGCTCGATCCTACTTACTTCCATCAGCTGTTCACGCTGATGCAGGCATTGGGACAGATGAAGGAGCCTGGTACTAATGGGGTAAGTTATCCATCAACATAGTTAAATCTAGACAAATTTTATAAAGAGGGAAGATATTGAAATAACTCAACTACTGGGCCGATTTAAAATAACTTTCACCAATAAATACCTACTTTATCACTTAGTAAAATAGGCTATAATAATTATTTTATTTTATTTCAAGCTTGAAATCAGCTTATAAAATTATTAGTAAGTCTGTTATACTGTGTTAGTAATAGAACAGAATATAACTAATAATTTACAATTAAAAATTCCGAGAGCTCTGTTTATTACAATTTTTATTTCCGAGCAGACGAAGACGCCAGCAACAGCTTGTGTTATGTACTGTGTCGCCAATTATTAAGATAAAAATGTTTATTTTTCAGGAACTCGTAGCGCACACAAAAGCGCAGCTGCTATCGAGACGCGTGTGGGATATTCTACAAGCGGTGCCTTTAAATCCAACACTTCTAGAGGCCTTCCAAAACCCAATAGAGAGCAAGCTACCAGAATTACTCGACCCCACCAGTCCACAAAAGCTCATGTACTCTCTACATATTATTGACAAACTGAGCTCTAATAATAATGGTCCGAATGTGAAAGACTCACCCGGAATTATCGAGAAGACTGAAGAAGAAAAAGTTGCGGTTGAAAATTGGAATGATCTCTTTATAAAGAAGGGCGGATTGAGGATATTGTACGATATCATGATGTCAGGTAAAGTTCCGTTCCTTTATAAAAAAAACAATGTTACATACTGCATAAGATAGGTCGTTTTATTTATTGTTGTTCGTATTTGCAGGTGTATTACAACGCAATGACGACAGCGAATGGAGGCAGGACTGTCTCGCTTTGTTGCTGCAACTTCTCTGCCGCATCGGGACTTTGCCTACATCCGACTCCGCTCAGACACCCAAATTACATCCCGTATGTATAACATTTATTACCTTGCATAAAGTTGTACTGGCTAGGCCAAATTCTACATAGAAATATTTTTATAACAGTTTCATTTAATAAAATCGTTGAAAAAGTGGCGTTAATATGTTTTAATTAAAACTAGTGTTTAGAATACTTTTTTTTCTCTTTGTTAATTGTATATGTTTTAATTATGTGTAAACAATCTTACATGATTTAAATAATTAAATAATATATGTGTTTGCAGGCTCTACTATCTCTGATGAGTGTAGAAGAAACGACTGAAAGATTAATATCAATATTGTGCGAAGCTGCCGCTGTTAAAGAACCCACTACGTACAAGACAGGGTTCTGGGGCAGAGCTCAGGTAAAGTGGTTTAGAGATAGTATATATAAAAAACATTTAAGAATACAATGGTTTGGTGAAAAATGTTTAAAGTAAAGGAATAAGCGGTATATGCAATAATTCGTCTAATAAAAGTGACAAACACCTTGACACTGTCTTAAAAGGTACTAGTAGCCTATGTGTTCTTCCAGACTGTTATCTAAATCTATGCCAATTTTATTGTGATCCGTTCAGTAGTTTAGGCTATAAACTATAACCAACCTCAATCTATCCATCTAAATTTTCACATTTATAATTAGTAAGAAGTTTGTATTGCGTTCGATTATTTTTTAAATAGTTATGTAAAGTGCAGTATGTGTGTGCAGGTGGTGCAGCACGCGATGCGCATGTGCGTGTGGTGGGCGCGGGGCGGCGGGGACGCGGTGGCGCTCGCCTGGTCGCTGCGCCGCGCCGCGCCACGCCTCCTGCTAGACGATGCCGATCCAGCGGTAAAACTAGATATTTTCAGTAAATATTTGTATTTCAAGTCTAATTCTCAACGGAACATTCGAGTTATTAACTACGCAGCTTGTTGCTCCAAATTTGTGTACTTGGGTACATAATGTTATAGAATTACTCCTATTTCGGGTTGTCACAGATAATATAATTGATTTGTAACGCTTCGGTGTTTGTTAATATGAAGTGTTATATGAAGGTGCGTCGCGAGGCGGGCGGCGCGCTGTACCGGCTGTGCGCGGGCGGCGAGGTGGCGGTGCTGGCGCCGCTGCTGCAGCTGCTGCTGGAGCACCTGCCGCGCGCCGCGGACATGCGCCCGCACCACCTGCATCATCACACGCAACATCATGATGTATACTCAACTTTAAATAAACTAGATACAACGAATTTGCGATAGCCTAATTTTACCGGCTGTTAGTGAAACTAAATTATAATAGCTCAGTAGCTCCTTTTTTAGCCATTTTCTATGTTGGTTTTACATACATACTCCACTCACCGAATTTTTTTTTTTTTTTTTTTTTTTTTTTTTTTTTTTTTTTTTTTTTTTTTTT